CGATTTCTTAATCTCAAGAAATTGCAATTTTAAGATTTGCATTCAGGTGATGCAATTCTTTTGACCGCCACTGTATACTCGTAGGACTTTTCGTTCCTCCTGAATTTCTTCACAAAAAAAATGTTGTACTGTATTTCCTTAACGCTTACTATATTATCGCACGAATTCATATGTCAACAAATTTAACTAACATATTATCTATACTTTCTGTATTATTATTTATCAAAAAAGAATCATTTGTTAATAAATTTTCATTTTTATATTATCATTATCAAAAACCATTAAATAAAATCTATCCATTTATGTCAATCCATTTATGTTAATAGGCTAATCTAATATTTATATGAAATGCATAAAGTTGGGCGTTTTTAATTTCAACTCTTTTTTTATTCTTAAATTTTTTGATAAAAGCAAAATAATAAAAAATTATAAGAAATGACTACCGAAGAAAATATCCGTGAACATCATATTGAATCTATATCATTGACTGATGCAGAGCTTGTTGAAATAAGGTATGTTCATTGTTTGTTCATTGGATAAACAAAAAGAATTTTGAATGATTCTCTTTTTTTACTCATATTCTACTGGAATAGGGGTACGTTATTAAAATGTGAATCAAAAATGTTTTTTTTCATATTTCATAATTTTATTAATTCTCTCTCGTCACAATAGCGCGGCAGCGGACCTTTGAAGGGGCATATTGGAGAACATGTCTATCATCTTTTGGATTTGCGCTTGTGATTCTCCGCATATTTGATAAATCATTTTATAGCGTTGGATTGGTCTTTATAGCATTTGGAGGTGGGATGCTATGTATTTCCGCCTTAAGAAGGCGATATAATTTAGACGTCTTTGATAATAGTAAACCATTTGTCACGAGCGGAGGATATGTTGTACTATCTGGAGGTGTAGCTCTTATTACGTACTTGTCTTTATTAATAATGATTTTAAGGATGGATTATTTATAAGGTAAGAAAATTATAAAATATCATTTATTTATTTTCTTAAAAAGTAGACAAAACTTATTATTAAAATTATGTCTTTGGCTCAGAAATTTTCATCGATTGTCCTAATTCCTCCAACTTGAAAATTATTTAAATCAGAAATTCATGATAACAACAAGAAAAATTGATTTATTGATTTGTTCATTTACCTTTCCCATTAAATTATTTAAATTTGCCATCAAGTTATTTAAATCTTGTTCTTTCTTTGCAAATCTTTCAGAATTACGTTTAAAATTTTCTTCGGAATCTTCAGTTATTCCACTTCCTAATGGCCTGAATGATTAATTAAAAAGTTAAACGGGTCTGTATCTGGAATTGAAGTAATTTAAAAACGGATAAAAACATTTACATCTCCTTGTCTGGTAAATTTTCTAAAGATATATGTTCAACGGCTAAAGAAATTTGTTTGCTACGTATTAAATCCAATTCTTTAAATATACTGTCAGAATTCCTTCCTAATTAAATTATAAATAAATTAAAATAAATTATAAAATAAAATATCATAAATTAATTCAACTTATTTTTACCGAAAACTCTCATTTCTCCACTAGCAAACATTTTATCCATTCTTTTAAAATCATTTTCAAGTGTATCTAAAACTTTTTCATGATCTGTTGGCAGTCGAGGTAATTGTGAACCAACAAGAGTTGTAAATTGTGGTGGAGGTGTTGGTGTTTGTTTTTCCATTGTATAAAAATTCTAAAGCGAGGAATTAATGAAATCATTATATTATTCCTATATTTGTAAGAAATTAATGTACAATCATGCGGTATGAACCAATATGACGATTTCTGCTGATTGTATAAAATTAATAATATGAAAACTTCAGATTTCAAAATTTTTGTTGAAAGATTCACTTGCACGAAATCCACGAATAATCACAATAAACGGATCATTTCTCGTCCTAAAGTTCGTAATGAGTCTACGCGTAAGGGTCCTTATTCACGACAAACAATAAAGCGTGAGAGTTCTAGACATTCGAAATCTAAAGAATTGAAGTATCCACTTGACAATGCATTACTTGATGTAATAGATCATAATTTGTTGGGTACGTTAAAAACATGATAATCCTTTTAGAACGTTTAGATTATAAGTAATATATGCTAAAAAGTTTCTTTTTTAGTTCTATTTGTTGGGATTAACCCTGGTATAAAAAGGTATCACTTTCGGATCTTGATGATTTTAATCAAATGTACTAGATTCAAATTTTCATAATCACGAATTCAAAAATCCATTATATGTAGCGCACAAAGTGGACATCATTTTGCTGGACCTACAAATCACTTTTATCCGTGTTTAGTTGAAAGCGGTAATAATAAAGTTTTTTTTTTTTTTTGGTGTTGTAATTTATCTTGTAAAATTTTTATTTGAATAATTTCATGATTTAGGATTAACTAATTATGAAGTCGTAAACTATGAAAATGATATCGAGTTATCAAACAGATTTCGAATTGGAATTATCAATGTTTGTTCCAGAACAAGTCGATCTTCGGCAGTAAGTCATCGAATGTTTTAAATTACAAATTTTCTTCTTCTCACGTTATTATAAATTTTTCTTTAAAGGATTTGAGCAAAAATGAAATGAGGGATGGAATACCAGATCTTATTAATAAAGTAGATTCGTACAAACCAAAAATTTTATGCTTTGTGGGCAAATGCGCGTATGAAGCATATGAGAAATCATGTCAAGTTTCTAATACAAATAGAGATAAATCTTTATCATTCAAATTTGGATTACAAAAAAGAAAGATGTCTTGGGCTGATGACACTGGATACACTAAAATATTTGCAATGCCTTCTACAAGTGGTAGGGTTTCTCACTATCAAAAAGGTGATAAATTGAAATTGTTTAAAGAATTAAAAAACTTGGTTGATATTGAAAGGGGACAAGAGGCAAATGATATTTTTTTTTAATTTTTAATAAATAAAATAAAAAACAAAAAAATATTATATAAACATTATGTAAATTAAGGATTATTAATAAGTAATTAACTTAATTTTATAATATATTAATATGCTTTTGGGGGGGATCATTTGCGTGGGCCATCTAATCTATATAAACATACACCTTTTGAACCTTTATTAAAGGAACATCCCCATATAACTTCACGATTTCGTCCTCTACCTAAATGAACAACATCAACCCCCCTCACGACATTTTCAACAATTCTTCCAGTGTTAAAACTTCTTACTTCAACCATATTTTTACCGAATCCAACTACATAAGATTCACCTTCAGCCTGCGAAGGTTTAAGAAATTCAACTTGCAAAGGTGGATAAGTCCATTGAAATACGATTGTAGAAAATGGTCTCCCTTTAGAATCAACTATCATTGACTTTGATCCAAAAGTAGCAAAAAATAAAGAGTCAATATTTCCCGTCTCAAATACCGGTATGGGATTTAACATTGCTGAAGGATCTTCATTTATGATCAAATTATAAGGAGGCGGAATTGTAAAACTTTCAGAGACAAATTCTGGATCAAGGGTTGGAATCCAAGGAAGTTGTGTAAATGTTTGCCAAGTCATATTTTCTGAATCATTTGAAGAATTATTAATTAAATCAGGGGAACGTAATTCTTCTGAAATTGAAATTTCTCTCACACGTGCATCTTCAATGCCTATACATATAACTTCCGTATGAAAGACCGCAATGATATCAATTAATTGATCTTCATGTACAGACATTTGAAGAAATTTCGGAGTTTGAGGTAACCAATAAGTTCTAGTATGTAAAAATTCTGGTCCCCTCGTTGCGTCACCAAAATCCAATTCAAACAAGAAAATATTTTGTTTTGATAAAACAGCGAGGTACGTTCTCAATGGTCCATTTCTTACAACAAATGAAAGGGCCATCCTTGTACCAGGAAGTTTAAAATAATCTGATGACCATTGAACGGGAAGATTTTGTTGCTTTTCATGTACTTCTGCTGAAGCGACAGAATTTGTTATTAATGATAGTGGATTCTGATGACTAGAATGTCGCGTATGTCGTCGAAGATGTCGAGGTGAAGGAAGACTTGAAGGTCTAAAGGAATTATCATTTATTTCACTTTCTTGTAAAGAACTTGAAGAACTTGCTGCAGATGAGTAATTATTGGGAATTATATCCAAGTCATCCAAGGTTGTTGACCTTCTTAATGGTATATCGGGAAGTTCAGTTCCTATATTTTGTGAATTTAGATCTAAAATTGAAAAATCTATGGATCTTGATCTTCCATGACTTATTGGTGACCTTGGAGGAGTTGACGTTTTTGGGATAACTTGAATCGTTTGACGTGATATTTTACTTCGTATTAATAATCGCAAACTACATAAGTCATAACATCTTATATGATTGTTTTTTCCTGCTAGAGCTAATAAGGCTCTGTATCGACCAGTTTGTAAAACCGATATTTGCTTAAACCGCACATCATGTATAATTCTTTTTGGTGTTTGTTGTTCGGAAGGAAGAAATAAATCTATAAAATCTAAGCCAGCATTAGTTCCCAAGAGAAAATATCTGTCGTCAAGGATATCCCCACAAAGAAATTTATCTTTTGTATAAAGAACGCTGCCAAGAGTATGAAGTTCAAAACATGAACCAGAGGTTGACGGATAAAAAGAGTAAGCGGGTGCTCTATCATGAGTTAATCTGTTCTAGGGAAAAAGATTTATTAAAAACATAGTCGTCGTTACAAGGATTTATCAATAATAAAAAAAACGTGTGAAAACAAAAAAAATTTAATTTGGATTAAAAAGCTCAAATTATTGGAGAACCTACTAGATCATTTTGGTCTGTTTCTGTAAAGGGAGGTGGTGGACTTAAAGGTTCCGAAGATAGTTCCGACCAAACCATTAAACTAGATTTTAAATAATACTATCTATATTATAAAAAAAGTAATAGTTAAAAAATTTTAATAAATTTTTTCTTTGACAATTTTGAAAAAAAAAGAAATTGTTAATTATGGTCTCTAGTAGTCTTATTATGGTTTATGTAAAGTTAGTGTAAGTGGCGGTTTTTTTGGCCACATTGCCGGGTACCTGCTTGTACGCGTCCAACGAATTGTAAAAACTGCCACATCACATCTTTGTACACAAACGCGCCACATGATTTTTGAAATCTCTGCACATGATGATAACAAGATATGCACAAATCCATTGGTATTTGCAGGGTTCCGCATATCATTTCATATATGGTAGTCTTGTGAAAGCACTGTTACCGTTACACAATTTATTTCTCAAATCGATTACTATAATAATTCTAATAATGGTATCATTTAATAGAGACGCGAATCATATAAATTTGCTGCGTCTCAACAAAGATAAAAGGTTTGAAGTTTTGACTCTTGTTTAAAAACTCAAAAGCAACCATGTCATATCCATTAGGAAATTATTTTTATAATAACGGAGAACCCTCTACATTAGGACAAAGTTCTTCAAGTCAAAGTCTCTTTGACGCGTCAACAGCCGACAAAATAGACTACTCTCACCCTTCACTTGGTAAAACTCTAATTAACGACTTTCGCGATTTGGTGGGCACCGGTGTCTCACCTTCTGTCTTGGAAAATTTGCTCAAAACTTCCAGCGGTGACCTAGAATTAGCCGTAAATAACTATTTTGATAACAAAATGGACAAAGAAAACTTGGTTATTGGAGAGGCAGAACCTCCTCGTCCTGCTTCTTTGCGTCGAAATTTAAATTCTATTAATTACTCCCCAGACTACGTTGAGCAACCTAGTAGTAAGAGGACACGAAAGCATTCTAACGCACGTGACTGGAAACGAAAGCACCTTGGCAGCATCTTGGTCAATGGCCAATCAACCGTTAGGAGCGAACGTATAATAAAATCTGGTGATAAGGTTACTTTTCAAAGTCAGGTATTTTTTCAAAAACCGAGCAGAGGAAGGAAACGGTCAAGACAGTCTTGTTGGCAAAATACCATGTTGAGGTTCAATTCTGTGAATGGAACTCAACTTGGAATAATCGACGATATGCAGCTTACTTACATGGTTGCTAATTTGATGGATGCTGGAGTTTGTGAATTTGAGGGAGAAGTAGTATATATAGGTGATGCTGATGGAAATATCGAAATTAATGATGAAATATTGATCGATATGAAGATTTATATTTTGGTATGTTAAATTGAAATTCATATCGTATAACCTTTTGAAAATGTTCTTACAATTGTGATTTATTTGATATATAGTACGCAGCGTTTTCGCGTGAGCCAACTTTCTCTCTTTCAAGAGAGAACACAAAATTCATTATAACAGGTCCAAATTCCATGGCGGAACATAAAGCTACCGATCGAAAAAATGCCATCATGTACATGTTCGAACAATGTAAAATAAAGGCCAAGCAATCGAGCGTGTTAACACAAGAGCATAAACAAGCTGGTACCCTAGATGCAGAGAGAATTCAAGAACATTTTCAAAATGAAGAATGGACAGGCTTCAGATCAGCGTTCATCCATCAATCTCTCTACAATGAGGAGGAAGAAACGTCATCAAATATCTCTGACCAACAATTGAACGCGTTATATGAAAAAGCTCAAAGACTTGACTTAAACATTCCTGAAGCTGAACCACCAGCTCATACCTTCCTTTTTAAACTGAGACGATATCAAAAACAAGCTCTTCATTGGATGCTTTCGAAAGAAACCCTCGATCCAAATCAAACCAAGCCAACATCATTGCATCCTTTGTGGGAAGAATATGAGTTTCCAGGTCAAGCTGATGACACAGAAGAAACAATTGCGGATGACCAACCAAACAAGTTCTTCTATTTTAATCCTTATACGGGTAAGGTATTGTTCTATTGATATCAAATAAATCAATATTAAATCAAAGTTGCTAATATCAATTAATTTAACTGTGCAGGTGAACTATCACTTGATTTTCAGAAGGTTGATCATTGTAGGGGAGGAATTCTAGCGGACGGTATATCATAATTTATTTTATATTTTATAGATTTGTTCTTTTATATTTTGACCTTACGATTTTTGTTCGATTGATTAGAAATGGGGCTAGGTAAAACGATCGAGATCTTAAGTCTCATCCATGCCGTTAAATATCCCACGATAGATCCAAATCAATGTGACATAGTTGATTTGACCGAGGATTCTAAACCCTCATCGTCAAAGTCAGTTCATCGCTCTACTTCATCATCTACATATGAACGATTTCCGGCAATAGCGACAACACTCATAGTCTGTCCAATGAGTTTACTCTCACAATGGCGTGATGAAGTTAAAAATGTATCCGCTTCACAAACTTTGAGCGTTGAGTTATATTATGGAAAGCAAAGAAATTGGGATTTGAAGTCAATTAGAAGTCGCAAGGCAATTTTACCGGATGTTCTTGTCACAACTTATGGAGTTTTAATGTCGGAGTTCACTGATGAAGAAAGAAAACCAGCAACATCCCCATTGTTTAATGGTGCGAATTTATTTAAATTTAATTGTGATGACAGTGTTAAAACGAACTTCTTCTTACACGTGTAATTGATTTTATAGTTGAGTTTTTTAGAGTCGTTCTAGATGAAGCACACACAATCAAGAGCAAAATCACAAAAACAGCCAAGGCTTGCTATGCTTTAAGAGCAGAAAGAAGATGGGCTCTAACCGGTTCGTCGAGTTTAGCTGATATATCGGCGTGAATCGAATGACTTGTACTTATAAATTATTGACTCATATGCTTTAGGTACGCCTATTCAGAATCGTCTTGAGGATATTTATTCTCTTGTGCATTTTCTTCGTCACGAACCATGGAGCAATTTCCAATTTTGGAAAAAATATATTCAAACGCCGTATGTATTTGTAATTTGTCATATCTGTTATTGTTGTTATTATTGTATCGTATATTTACATAACGATTTCCCTAGATTCGACAAAAAGGATATCCGCGCTTTGGGAGTGGTTCAAGGTGTTCTGGAACCATTGGTTTTACGACGTACAAAGAATATGAGAGACTCAAATGGCCAACCAATTATTGATTTACCTTGTAAAGATGTTGAAATAGAATTCCTTGAATTCTCTCCGGAAGAGCAAGATATTTATGATTCTATTTACACGCACTCCAAGACCAAATTTAATTATTATTGTCAAGCTGGAAGCGTTTTAAGCCATTACGCACACATTTTTCAATTATTAGTCAGGTAAGATAGAATATAATTGAAGGAATGAATGAATGAATTCTTAAATTTCTTTTCATTTTAATTTTCATTTTAAATTTGACCTGATAGATTACGTCAAGTATGCGATCATCCGATCCTTGCAATTTCTAAATCTAAAAACACAGGTATCTTTATTGTTTTTCTTTTAACGAACATATTTTCAAGTCATTAACCGTAACTTATATAATTAAAATTCAGTTGACGATTTTGTTGAAGACGGTGTGAATTTTTCAGCATTTGATGCAGAAGGAAATCTTAATATAGATCGTCTGATCGAAAGATTTATGACAAACTACGGTGAACAAGATCATTCTACAAATTATCAGCTGGAAATGTTGGAAAAATTGAAATATGGAGATGATTTTTCCAATAAGGAATGCCCAATTTGTTACGAGAACCTAGTAAATGGTGTTTTGTTGCCATGCATGCACTCTGCATGCCGTCAATGTATTATGAACTATTTCCAGGTTTGTTAATTTCTTTGAGTGCAGTTATTCCTAATGGAACTTATTAATTCATTATATCTCGTTTAACAGAGTCAAGTAACTTCGGGGAAATCAGGACAATGTCCCGTCTGTCGTCGTGGACCAATTGCTGAAAATGATTTATTAGATATCGTTAGAAAAAATGATAATGTGTGTGATAATAAGAATATTGCCTCATCATCTTCACCCGGTGCAGCCATGGAATTCGATGATGCAAGCTTAAAACTCTCAGCCAAACTAGGAGCTCTATTACGCCATCTAAATCAATTACGGCAGGGAAATAAAATGACGGAAAAATGTGTTGTTTTCTCTCAATTGTAAGTAAAGTATTATGGTATTTTATCGTACGATTTGATTGATTACTTAACAATTTATATGTAATATTTTATTTTAGTACATCAATGTTGGATTTGGTTGGCGATGTTCTTTCAAAAGAAAATTTCACATTTGTTAGATTGGACGGCACTCAACAACAATCCGAAAGGGAATTTGTTCTTAAAGAGTTTAAAAAGACTGGGATTGATATAATGTTAATATCTTTGCGTGCCGGTAAGAAGAATTTTTATCTATAATAGATATGATATATTAGCAAGAAATATAAAATTTATTCCCTACTGTATGAATTTAATAGGTGGCGTAGGATTGAATCTTACTGCTGCAAGCAGAGCATACCTAATGGTAAGTAATCGATTCTTCGGAACCAAATCTTCTGAACTTTAAATAATTTATTTATATATTTTAAAAACCTATATAAATTTAGGACCCTTGGTGGAACTCGAGTATTGAGGATCAGGTATTTTTATTCATCGTTAGTTATGTTTGTTTGACATTTATTATTCAAAAGAATTAACATATTATTACAACTTTTAAATTACGTAATTCTTAGGCGATTGATCGTGTTCATGTATGCTACATTATTTTAATTTAAGCTTACTAATTTACTAATTTACTAATTATAATATAATTATTTATTTATTAGCGTATTGGTCAAAAAACTGAAGTTAGAGTTATCCGATTCATTATCAAGAATTCTATTGAAGAAAAGATGCTTTCGATTCAGAAGCGTAAGAATGCAATTGCTTGTGGTTTAGGCATGTCCAAAGATGAAATGAAAGCTCAACGGCTTGAAGATTTGCGAGAATTATTCTCTTAAATTGTTTTTACCCATAATTTTACTAATAATGCATCACATAATTTTAATAACACAAAAAAATCATATGTAAGCAATGTTATTGATCGACCATATTTGCTAATATATTCTTACCGGAACGTTTAATTTGATATGGGCTATGAATTGAAAGTTAGAAAATGAAAACTTTTAATGTTTGCTTTTATTTAATAGAAGTTATTATTTAGAGAATTTTTTTTTTTAATGCAAAATTATAATATACATAATACATCATGTGAATAAGCTGAATTAAGTTTATGTACGGTACAGTTTCACAAATTACGCCCCATAATTTCAGTGTAGTGACGTGCTTGTCAAAAGTTTATTCTTAATATCTGTCGCTTCGTATAAGATAGTGAAGAAGTACTCCATTCGAGAGGCTACACTAAACAAAGGTCGCTGTTTTCCTATGAAACTATGAAAGAAACTATTTTATTATTTTAATTATACACTTTCGTAAATATGTCAGAACCTACTATTACTATATCAGAGCAAGAAAAACCATTTAATGAAATATGTGCAGAGTATACAATTAACAGAATGGAAGGAATGATGAATGAAATTGATTTAAACAAAATTGTTCAAAACCAAAATTCAATGTACGTATATAACAAATCCTTGATTTCGTTTTAAATTATCAATTAATCGATTGTTATTAATTTCCGCAACAAATTTAGTCATGAAATGTTGGAATCAAATGCTACATCATTAACATCATTTAATGATCACAGTCATATAAAATATGATGAATTATTAAAGAAACTTGATTCACATTCTAAATGTCTTAAAGAAATGAAAGTTGATTTAGAATATATTTTTAAAAAATTAAGGTATATATTAAAGAATTCTAACGTTTATTCTTACAAACTAATTTGAACTTTATTCAATTTCGATTAGGTTATTGAAGACTAAAGTATCTACACAATATCCTGAAGCTTATGCGGAAGTTAAAAAAAAAATTTCCTAATACATAAAATTCAATACAATGTATTATACGCATTTTTTTTAAAAAAAAATATACAATTAGCAAGTTTTATAAATAATTTAATCAATAAAAGTCGTAAAGTTTTTTTTTTTTTAATAATATTTTTTATATATATCAGTATAATAAACCTTTATAAAATAATAGATTTAATTATTTAGTATTATATAATATTAATAAATCTATAAGTATTATTATCTATTGAATTTTGATAATAAATTATACAATGAATTTTCTATATTTTATGTATTTATAAAAAAAATATGAACTTTACTTTTTATACTAATATGATTTTTTTTTTTGTAAAATTAGTTCAAATTTATATATTAATTAACATTTTTATTTTCTTTTTACTAAAATATTAAAATTTTTAAATATTATAAAATAAATACTTAAACATTTAATATTATTAAAAATCTATATAATATAATAATTAAATTAAAATTTAAGAATATTAATAATTAATATTAATTTAATATCAAATTTAATATTTCTATTATTATTTAATAATAATTAAAACTAATTAATAAGATAATAAAATTAAAGATAGAATGTATATTGGTCATTTTTTATATATGTACAATGATAAATTTTATTAATCATATGAGATTTCAAACATTAAATATATATATTAACTCAATTAATATATTTAAAAAACAAGTTTTTAAATAAATTTATCTTATTTATTAATTAACATATAAAACTTTTGCAATAAAAAAAGAAATAGCCAAAAAAATCAATTTTACTTTTATTTATCAAATATGATTTTTAGGTCAAAATATATTTAGATTTAACTAAAGATGGTAACCATAATTAATATGTTGCAACATATAATGTTATAATATATGTTGCAACTATGTTGCAAAAATTGATGATATTCATTAATTTGTTGCAACACTTAGTAATTTTTTGCAATTTTGCAATATTTTGAACGTCCGAACGTCAAATTTTTGTATAATTATTGCGACCAATCGGCAAAGAGAAAACCGGAGGTCTAGGATAAGGATGCTTATCGGCAAAATCGACAAATATCACATGACTTTGCCAATTTTGGACACGGTTTATTTGTGGTTACATCTGATCAATCAGATTATCGATCAGAAAATTTTTAATTAAAATTTTCTTTTTTTAGTTTTTCATAAATTTTTAATTTAAAATTTTTTTTTTCAATTTTTATTTTTAAAAAAAAAAAAACTAATCTTACTTACCTTGTAGACCGATTCGTAATCTATATACTGTGAACCTTTGGAGGTAAGTCTTAATGGTAACTAATTTAGATTTTTTTTTTTTTTTCAATTTTTATTTTTAAAAAATAAAATTAATCAATCTTACCTTGGTAGACCGATTCGGAACCTATAAACTGTGAAGTCTTAATGGTAACTTTTTAATTTAGAATTTTTTTTTTTCAATTTTTATTTTTAAAAAA